CCCTCAATGGAGATAAGAATGGAGGTAACGCTACGCACTCGACAGTTTCGGTTTAGTTCGTCTGTAGCTTCTTTTCCATCGAGATATGAGTTCCAAACGAGAATTATCAATCGAAAAACGGTCCAGTATTCTGACCTTCGCAGAAAAAAAAACGATTTTAGTTACTGTTGCAGATACTTGAATAACTTTCATGCAACGTGAATGCATATTTCGCTTGTGTCCGGATACTTATGGACGGTAGTGTATGTGTATAGTACGTCAGTGGTTGTTAATACCAATACTCCCCACAGATTAGCAACTCCTCTACAATTGCTGGACTTAACACAATTGTTTCACTTAAATCCTATCAAATATGTATGGGCGAAACTAGAAAAAAATGTGCGAAAACATGATATAAAGTCGAAAAAGCACTTGACAGAAATATTAAAAAGATAATGGTGTGATGTAGAACCTGCCTTCGTTAAAAATTTGGTGCTATCAATGCCCGATATATTACGTGAAATGATTCGCCGGAAGGGTTATCGTATAAAATGTTAATTTATAAAAATCCTGCTAAAATGATTGTAGCAATAATTAAGTGTACGAATACTTTTGACCCGGCGTTTTCTTCCAATTTCGTGAATTTTAAATCATTTTAAGTTATTACATGGTGTTATTGCCTTCGGTGCTGGACCATTTGTTGCTGTAAGTGTAACGTTTAATATACAGATATAATTAAGTATATTTAATAGTATAGAAAATATTGTTCTTTTTATTTCTATATTTCAGGTGTACGAATACTTTTGTCCTTCACTGTATATTCCCTCTGTGTATTGATTAATTAACGTTAGGTTAAAATAAAGTCATATCAAATATAATATACAGTAACCATTTATATATAGAAATTTATAGTTTATTATACTGTATTTTTGTGCAATCAAGATTTCGTTTAAAATCGTATCCATTATCGATATTTATAATCATTAATTTATCTTGTGAAAGTGTATGTGTTTCGCTGATTTCAATTTTTCATTTGATTTATTAAAAACGTAAGATATTGTTTTATTCATTTTTTAAATAATGATAAGCAATAAAATTTCTGTTATTTGCAACTCTTGTTGCAGAAAGAGATATAACGGTTAGGTTAGGTTAGGTTTGTTAATTTTTGCTTTATTAATTTTTTAAATAATAAGCAATAAAATTTCTGTTATTTGCAACTTTTGTTGCAGAAAGAGATATAACGGTTAGGTTAGGTTAAGTTTGTTAATTTTTGCTTTATTCATTTTTTAAATAATGATAAGCAATAAAATTTCTGTTATTTGCAACTTTCGTTACAGAAATAGGTATAACGGTTAGGTTAGGTTTGTTGCAGAAATAGATATAATTTCTGTATTATTATAAAGCTTTGTTATTACCGCATCAAATACCTGATCCTAATTTACATAGCCTATCAATACACAATTTATAGATAGAGCTGTATCGGGCCATTAAACGATAAACAGTTCAATTTAATTCACGGGACAATCTCTCGGTTTCATTTACATTTCCCTCCGCAATTAACAGCTATAGCGTGACATGTACATTAGTATTAATGCAATAATTATTTATTTACGTCGTTCAAATAATTTGAATGATGCAATTTCTAGTTTCTTTCCGTTAATAGTTTAATGGTTTTTACTGTACAATGTATACACTTAATGTTAATTTTCAAAAATCATTTACGTTAAAATTTAGGTTAAAACTTTCGTTAAGGTTAAATTTGACTTTACCGAACTTAAGTTTTTCTATTCAAATCTTTTTTTTCTATTCTAATCAAATCTAGATAAGAGTATATGTTCAAACTGTAATTCACAACATATCTTTTAATGAAACAAGCACTTTAACACATCTGTAATAATACAAAAATAACAATGCGATTTATATAAAAAGAATGAATATAATACCATATATCACATTATGTATATATTGCTTGTTATTACTCTTGTATTGCATGTTACATTCCTAAGTTTTTACTTTTAATTGTTCAGTATCACATACAATTTGAAAGTTACGTTTATTGTCTGAATTATTTCTTTATACACTGGTTATGTCAATAAAATGTGAACACACTCCTTCACTACAGAGATACTTGATATTACATTAACTATTTTAAAATTACAAATTAATGTAGGTAATTTGTAGATAGTAATCGGTCATTTAATTTTTTTGTTGTTACTTTCATGTTTTACATTAATGTTCATGTAAAAATACATTTTGCTGGTGCTTATTAGTAAAATATATACCTTTTATGTAGAATATACATATATATATAGTAACAACAAAGACATTAAATGAACGATTACTATCTAGTAATTACCTACATGAATTTGCAATTTTAAAATAGTTCAAAATATATTTCAGCATAATTAAATAATTTTAATAACATATAATATTATTATTTAAATAATAATACATGTATAAAACGAGTTTCTATTTTTTTACATATGGATAGCTTATTTTAGCACCCTCAATGTATTGAATATACAATACATTTTAATAATAATATAGTACACACAATATATTCTAACAGTGCTATATTTCATAGTACACAATGTATAGATTCTTTCTCCATTTTTCTACTTAACATATATGTACACATTATTATTAACCCTTTGCGCTCGAAGATAATTCGGCTGTTTGTAAACAGCAACTTCAAAATTTAGTTAAAAAGTTAAATGAACTTTCTAGAGGTTATTATTTCTCTACTAATAATTTCCACTATTGTTTGTTTCACTATGTTTATACATTACACGTGTCATATTATAGAATGACTTATAAAATGCATATTTCATATTATTGTATTAAATAAAATGGTGACTGAGAGTCACCTCTCGAGCGCAGAGGGTAAAATATATTGTTTTAATATTACGTATGAAGTAAGATATAGTTTAACAATAAATTATATATAATTGTATATAAAATCATTCTCTATGTTTCTATGAAAATAAAAGTTTTGTACAACATAAATCACAGTATATAATAAAGTTAATTAATGTTAAGGTACATAAACTGTACGTGAACTTACCGGTTCACCTTTTGGTCCATCTATCCCGATAGGTCCCTGAAAGAATATACTGGTAAGTTTGCGTGATCGGTAGCACAAAGAATGGAAGAAAGTGAAAAATCGAAAAGGTTGTGTAGCCTTTAAAAATATGTAATAATCATTCCCTGTGTGTGTAACATGGACGTATGCGAGCATACGATAAATAGAGGAGTTGTTGAGCGTTATAGTACAAGATGCTTTCAAATATGACATTAATTTTGTTTCATACATTTTTGTTAAGTATTTAACAGCTGCGGGATTCTTCGCGTTGTTATATTCGCAAAATATTCGTCATTTTTAATACAATTCATTCTTTCTTTGTTGATAGACGTCGTTAAATGGATTCTATTTTTTGGTAAATAAGGATTACAACATTTCGGATTTTTATTAAGTTTAGGATTTTGAAATTTTAGAACTTAATTTTTGAATTTTGGTGTTTTTACACTTTGACATTTTAGAATTTGTGAACTTTGAGACTAGGATTTTGAAATATTTTGACAAATTTCGGGACGTTAGAATTTTACAAGTCTAGTGAAGAATTTAGATTTATCTTCAGATTTCGGTATTTAGGAATTTCGAAACTTTGTGACTTTGGAGATTCTGTCAATTTTTGATTCCCTAAATTTCAGAAACTTAGAAATTTGTGTTTGCCTCGTCAGAAAATTTTTGTGATCTTTCCCTGATACCCTAAACATACTCCAATTTAGCCTAATAATTTAGGCAAATTAAAATTTAATAATTTTAACCCCATTAGTTCATTTGTTCACAAAATATTTGTTTCTTCACAAACTACTTATAATTATAATTAAATAACAAATTTTATTTTCACTTTGTTAATAACAGACTATAGTAAGCAAAATTGCACCTCTTCGACAAAGAGTTTTCGATCAATTTTCATTTAACTATTTCTCTATTGACAGTTCACGCTTTTGCAGGCGAAAACCAATCTAAAGCGTCATATTTGAAAGTAAATGAATTTCAATTTCACAGCTGATACATGTATAGGCGTAAATCTGATACAATGTAGTAAAATATTAAGAGATAAAAAGAAGCGGATGTTGCGCAAAATTGGAGAGCAAGCATTAGGAAAATTCTAAGAACATGGAGAAAGAGAGAAACACAAAAAAGTCTACATAAAATGCAGTAATTGAGAATTGAATTAGTGTTATGTGCAAAACGTGAGATGGTGAAGAGTATGCAAGAACAAAGATGTGAATAGAGAGAAAGAGAGAGAAAGAGAGAGAGAGAGATAAAAAGACAGAGGAATGGAAAGAAAATAACAAAATAATATACCGGAAAACCGCTTTTGCCCGCCGCCCCGGCCATACCCTGTAAGAAGGGGTATAACAAATTAAAAACTCATTTATACAGGACAAGGGTTAAGTACTTTCGCGTTCATGCAAAAGCAATTATTCGCGAACCAATCGTGTTCACGATACACACCCCGTTAATAATTGTATCACGCTGTTTAATGCTTCAATCGATCGGATATTTTCATCGTGTGCATTCACACACGTATATGCAAGTTAACTTTTCAACAACTCGCATATGATGTTTTTCACGGAGACCTAAGCGCCCGCGAGATAGAACGAAATAACTCGGCTCTGTTTTACATGCAAAATTGAGAGCACTTTTGTGTTTATTTTGTTGAGGTATACCTGTGATTATACTGTTGCATTTTACCGTTGCGATTATTCTGTCGAAAATAAAAGATAACTGGTAATTGTACTTGTTTATTATATTGTTATATATATTTATTATAGTTGCATTTTGTTGACGTGTACCTGTGATTATATTACTATTGCATTTTACCGTTGCGATTATTCTGTCGAAAATAAAAGATAACTGGTAATTGTACTTGTTTATTATATTGTTATATTTATTATAGTTGAATTTTAATGGTGTAATTATTTTATTCAAACTAAGATATATAGTAGTTGTATTTATTTATTATGCAATTATCATGAAGGTATTATAATCGCATCGTTAAGATGCATTGTTAAGATGCAATTATAATAACTTCATAATAAATATACTGATATTATACAGTTATTTCACACTTATTATAACTGCATTTTAAGGTTAGAATTATTTGATTAAAAATAACAAAAATTCTTAGTAGTTGTATTTATTTATTATGCAATTATTGTGAAGTTATTATAATTGCATCGTTAAGATGCAATTATTTAATTAAAAGAACAAATATTGTTAGTAGCTGCATTCATTTATTGTACAATTATTATGTAGTTATTATAATTGAATTTTAACAGTGCAATTATTTTATTGAAAATAAAAGAAAATAGTGTCTAGATTTGTTTATTTAAATCGTTGTAGAAAGCATACAAATGCAAATCCTTTTCTTTTAATAAAACAGTATTTAATCATTCTAGAAGATGGGGTTTATTCGTAATTGAAATTCAAACTGGAAATTATTTTAATTTGTTGTATTTGTATGCGGAAAAAACGTTTCGAGAACTTTAAATGAGTTTCTTTCGAAATCACATTTCCTGCGACGATGTGCGTTTTCATTTGAATAAACCTTTATCGATTTTTACATACAAAAATGTGACACAGATGCTCCTAAATATTCAGTCATTGTAGAACTGTTTTTATACTTTTTTAGAACAAAAATATTTTAAAATTCGACCAGATTAAACTTTTTTAATATTTCCACAATTTTTGCTTTAAAATGTCAGAGGAATTAGTTTATTCGGAAATTTATTTTCAATGTTTTGAAAAAGTTGAGTTGATTGAAATGGCAGGGAAAATAGTTGGTTCCGTTGGAAATGTCACAAAAAAGTTATTAATTAAAACTTGCCGGTATCAAGTGTACAAAAAATTAAAAATTCCTCAAAATTTGTACGATTAAATTCAAAAATTAATAACTATGAAAATTTGTTATTAAGGTGTGATGGTTTGTATATTTTTAAACGTGAGAATTTACCATTTTCCAAATTCTTGGATTTCTAAATATTGAGATTTTCGAATTTCACTGTTCCCAAATCCGAAATTCTTCAAGACAATATATTTCCAAATTATTAGGTTCTAACGTATGCTAGATTGCTAGATTCGTTTGTCTATAGACCATCATATTCCTAGTTAACAAGTGCCAATACAATTTCTAAATAAAATCCACAGATCACTAAATACCTAGGAGAAGGTATCTTTAAATTCACTAGACTTTAATGTCAAATCTCAAGAGTCCTAAATCTTCGTATTTCTATATATTGTACATCCTAAGTTTTTAGATTTGTAAACTTCTAGGTCCTCAAATCCCCAGATCCTCAAATTCCTAGGATCTTAACTTCCTAAATCCATAAATGGATTTATTGCAAGAAAAAATCTTTAGATAGATACCAATTTCTAGATACCAAATCTTTAGATCACCAAATTCCTAGATTCCTAACTCTCTAGATTCCTAACTCTCTAAATCCACAAATGTAAAATCTTGCAACCCACAAATGCTTAGATTCAAAACTTTCTAGATACCAAATCTTTAGATCACCAAATTCCTAGACTCCTAACTCTCTAAATCCACAAATGTAGAATCTTGCAACCCACAAATGCTTAGATTCAAAACTTTCTAGATACCAAAACTTTAGATCACCAAATTCTTAGACCCGTAACTCCTTCAATCCTGAAATATAAAATCCTCCACTTCAAACTCAAAAATTTCTATATCCCAAATCTTGAGATCATTTTTAATTTCTTTCAGCGTAATATGTCTTATTACAAATACGCGTGTATGCCAATTAACTGCGTCGTTTCGATAAAATGCAACAGTTATCTCGTTCTTTCATCATCGTGGACGCGTGTTCGACTGTCGCATGCATACAGTGTGTACCGACAGTTATGAAATCGAGTAACCTACGTAGGTACCGTTAGCAACTACACCATGCATTGAACTACACTCTGAAACACGCACACTGCACGTGCGAGCACGACGGGTGCACTACGGGATGGACAAAGGAGAGGGTTGTCTCGGTGGAGGAACCGATGTACTCACCTGTGGACCTGGTTCCCCGGGGTCACCCTTTTTCCCTTTTTTCCCCCTTTTTCCGGGAGGACCTGGCTCACCGGGAGGACCTGTAAACAACAACAAATAATTAATCGATACGCGCACTTCGGCGAAAGGCAGGGTGAACACCGTTCGAACGACATTATTTGAGACATTATTGCTTATTAGTTTCTTTAGGGACTGATGGTACATGGGAGGTTATTATATTTAACCCGTTGCGCTCGAGAGGTGACTCTCAGTCACTATTTTATTTAATACATTAATTTAAAATAAGTATTTTTTAAACGATTCTATAATATGACACGTGAGATGTATAAACACAGTGAAGCAAACAATAGTGGGAATTATTGGTAGAGAAATAATAACCTTAAAAGAATTCATTTAACTTTTTAAATAAGTTTTAAAGTTGCTGTTTGCAAACAATCAAATTACCTTCGAGTGCAAAGGGTTAAAATAACACAAAAACACAATAACTTTCAAAAGACTAAATGAATTTATTATTTAAAAAAAACGACTTGGAAGAACTTCTTTAAAAATTACACTTGATTTATGAATGTTGAAAATGCAATTCTAAATAACCCACTTTTATACGTGTGAAAAATTATAATATCGGAAAAACAGTAGCGAAGAGATATGTAGATTTTATTTTATTAACATACGAAGATCAAAATCGAGCGGTATCTTACATCGATAAGTACACAAACTTGAGTACCGATTTCCCAATACATTTATTCTTGTTAATTTCATTGAAATGAAAATTCAACACGAATTTTTAATTTCAATTTTTTTCACATAATTACTAACGCGATTTTGTACGTATCGATTTCAAGCAAAAGGTGTTATGTCTTCTTTTCGTTTGAATGCAAATAATTGTCAAAACTGTTGGGATTTCAAATTATCAGTTAAATGTAGATTTATACTGTCATTTACAAATTAGTTTTTGATTTATTTATTATCATTCACCAATTACGTTTTAATCTACAATGAGCATGGAATTCCACTTTGTATAAATAAATAAAAAAAAGTAAAATAATTGTATTTCAGCGTGAAATATCAATACGTTATTTCCACACAATATTTGCAATTTTGAATTAAATTATATTTAATATAAAATTGAAACTTTTCTACCCTAAGATTTCGACAAAAATTTCCTACTCTAAAATTTGTCTGTACATAAATATTATATTATTACAATATAATTACGCAAAACAAACATTTATTAACGAAGTTTTTTTTAACAGATTCGGTTGAAATATTTAGGAGATTTTCAACCCTCAGTCTGAAAATAAATAACCAAAGAAATTGCATTGTTATTAAAAGAGTATCTCCTGCATAATCACAAAGCTCCATAATTTTTTTAATTTCCGGATTCGGGATCCTCCATTATAAGAGACATTTTTCTCAAGAATAACACTCCGCTGCCATTCTCTGTGTTAGCGGAACCATTATTAATTTCTTTTTTTCGTTTATGGACATTCGCTTTGGATGAGACAGGGCTTATAACTTGGAGAACCATTATTCCTTTTTGTAACTACATGAAACGGTTTCAAACAGAAATCTGCTATTAAAAGACTTCCCGAAGAGTTTTGTTTAAAGCAAATGCCTGTAGAAACTTTTCGAAATAAAATCTTTCTGTTGTATCTCTGTTTCAATTGTATTTGCCTTTTACTTATTTATGGTTACTAATTTGTAATTAGTCGGAGAAAATATAGAAACAAAATGATCGGAACAATAATATGATAATTTGAAGAAAATAGTTCAATTTAATCATTTCTGAAATTAATAGTTTATCGATAAATAATTTTTTATTGTTTATTGTAATTTGACAAATTAGGCATTTGAACTTAAGTATTTTTAAATTTGATAATTTAAAAATTTTCTGGATTTTCTTCAAATACTTGTTTATTACAATACTTTTTATTTACATTAAAAATTCTTGACTGTACTTAAATTCAAGAATAGAATAAAACTATCTTTTAATTATCGTTAAAAAAATTTTCTTCTAACCTTATATAATATGTAATAATATTAAAGATAAGTATTAAACTTTGTAACTAAATTCCTTCTTTTAACATGCAAATTGTAATAAAAAGATCTGGAAAAAGCTCGAAAAAGGGGTTGAAGCGTTACATTAAATAAAATGTCACTTTGTGTGTAAAAAATCGTTAATCGAAATTGAAACGAAGTAATGAAATTGTTCATGAATAATTCCTTTATATTCGTAGATAACGGTGCTATCGGAAATAATGGAACGAAATATTATTTCGAATAGCTATTTCTCATTTTAATTTCAAACGAAATCTGTTCAGCTTTGGGTGGCGACAAAAGGGTGGAAATGAGTTTTCAGCGACGCGAGAGCGAAATACGGCTCGCAAAAGAAGAGACGGTAACAACGGACCTGAAGCAAGGAACGAAACAACTAGATCGAAGCCGAAACAAAGTTACTTCTCTTGTTCGTTGTCCCACGTCAAAGATATTTTTGAAAATTGACGCGAACTTGCGCCGTTATGCAACGGGAAATCGATCGATTTCAGGGGTGCGTGTAATTTCGAGGGACGCTTCAGGTTTGTCCCTGTGTCTGTCGGATAACGAAGTTTCTTGTAAACGCATTTTCGCGTAAAGTGGAATATAGCGAAGCGAAAAAATTATTTGAAACGCTTTTAACGCTCTCCAACAACTTTTTCGTTTTATCGTGCTCGTGCAATTATTGTTGTTAACGCGACCGAAACACGTGGTGCTAACATCGTTGCTCAACTTTTTGTGGTCAAATGTAACTTGTTTACGGATCAATTCTGTTGTTCACTTTTAGTTGCTTTTTTACGACGAATATTTCAACGAGCTTGAGTTTCTAGGAAACTTTTGTATTTCACGAAATGAATTAGTACGAACAATTGAAATAAGCTTAAAATAATAATAGAAGTTTTCTTCGGTAATTCGACGAAAAATTTATTAAAACATCGATTCTTTTAATAATTATTGCAGTATAATACATGCTTAGTATTACATGTTAATTATTATTAAATGTATTATTTAGTGTGAACAGATTAAACGTATTATTTACATTGCATAATTTTCAAATCAATTTATTACTTTTTCGAAATTGCTTTAAACAAACATCCTAGTATCAAAAAAGAAGAACCTTGCTATTACTTTAACTTAAACTTATCTTTATAATGCAATAACTTAAGCTATTTTACATAAAAAATGCAACTGACAGCTTTCTGTATTCAACATAGTAAACATTATATGGTTGCCATTTTGGATGCGTTACCGAGTGGCAATAATGTGTTTAGAGGTCAAGCAATTTCCAATAAAATAATTGAACGTTCGTTTCATATTACAGGATCAAAACAATGGTGGAACGTGCCTGATAGGAAATTCTCTTTTTATTTGCTCTGCCTTCTGTACACGCTGCGTGTGTTATACTGATTTCCGGCAGAGGCAAGCGTGATGTTTGGGAGTTTCTCTCAGAGAATATTTCACTCGAGATAAATTTCCGAGCTGATCGAACAGGCTCGGACATTGGTACGGGCTTTGATTGTTTAGCTACTCTCTCATTTTCCATTTATCGTCGGGGGGTGATGGGCCGAATATTGAAGAATACTTTTCGCAGAAAATAAAACGCACAGACGGTAATGGAGAAGGGAAACGACAAAAAATTGGAGCAGAAAGAGGGGATTGTCGAAATGAGCAATATTAGTCGGGCGTGAAGTAACTTCCGTGAACTTTTTTACAATCCAGGCCACGGATATAAATCTTCTCGCCAGCTGACGAGAAAGAAGGATGAAATAAGAAACGTGCTAACAAGGAAAGTTTGAGGGTCGATATTGGCAGATATTGAGGGAAGTTGAAAAACAATTCCTCGCCGAGGTCAGCGATGTACGAAAAACTTGACAAACAATTTTCTACGTGTTATAGACTTCCTTTTTTAGGTGACAGTGATTGAAATTATTGCTCATTAACACGTTCACTGTTGAAGCAGGTAAAAAGATTAGGTTTTTTTTATATTAAGGTAAAGGTACCAGTAGTTGACACTTTAAGGAATTTTTTGTCTATTTGCTCACATAGCTCAGGCTAAGTTCACTTTATGGAAAATTTATGATTAGCAGTCGCTGTACAAACTATTCTTCTATTATATTACAAGTATTCATTCCTGATGGCGATTGTCAATTTTTTTCTTTTTTTCTTCTAAACGTAAAATTTGATTCAATAGTTGACACCCAGCGAAAACAGAAAATTTAGTAGTTAACACTTTTGTTTCAGTAGTTGACATAGAGAGAAAATCCAATTAATGAACTAGTCTTGATAATGTGTGAATACAGAATTTTTTTTGAACATTTCAAAAAGATTATTCTTGTGTAAGTTTACAAAAAAATATTTAATAATTAAGGGTTAATATGAAGAGTTAATAATAAATATTTAATATGAAGAGTTTGAACACTCCACATATCGGAGGTATCCTCATATCAGTTTTTATTGCGCTTTCTTCTGCATCAGTCAATACTCTGGCTGGGCCCATTTTGCTTTTAATTGGATGTTTGCCTTCAACCTTGTATTTTAAAGTTACCCTTGGAACACTAAATTTCCTAGCTACCGTTTTATACGGAGTTTTATGGAGCCGAACATCTTCCAGAGCCGCTTGCATAGTCTTTTCTGTATAATTTCTGAAGTTACGTAGGAGGCATCTCAAAATTGACAGAGGAACAAAGTCAGTAGTTGACACGTAGTAATTTAATAGTTGTCGCCCCGTGTCAATTACTGAATAATAGACCATTACAAGTTTCAGTAGTTGACACGGAGTGATTTAGACAATTTAGCATTGTTTGTTGCCAATTTTAACAATTAAACCTCTTTCTAAGTTTCAAACAACATAAACGAATGCCTTTTTTACTTACAATGATTAAATAATACAAACTTGCCATACTTACATTTTAACCAAATCCTTAGCGATTTATATAAGAAAACACTGAAAAATCGTAAGAGCCGTGGGCAAGTTTGATTAATAAGTTGCTATTACATTTTTGAATGGCGGATATGCACAATAGTTCGGAATTAAGCCACTGAAGCG